ACACTCAGATATGCAAGGAAGAGAGGAAATGGAAAGCACTGGGGAAAACTGAAGGAGATATGGACTAAATGACATTTGCGTTGGAAGAGGGTGGGAGAGAGAAAATAAGAAATTGGTCAGTTAGTTGGGCCATGCACCAATGTGGTTTGGTTTTGGTTTTAATCCATCATCAAAAAATATTTATCCTGTGTTACTAAAACAATGCCTACACACCGGTGTGGTTTGTACTTGTCGCATCAGAAGTGATGTGACTTGTCTGGTTTTCATTTGGTGCCAGTCTGTTTTGTTTCTGTCACACTGCATATTAAAACACACCTTCTGTCCTTAAATTACTCATTGCATGCAGCTCCTTGAAGGTTAAAAATTAACTGAAGAAACCAAAACAAAACTAAACTAGTGTGCAGTGACTTAACAAATACAAACCATTTGGCAAGACCATTCCAAAATATCAAAATCAAACCAAATCCGAACTATACTGTTGTGCAGCACCCCTCACTTTCCTGAAAAAAAAATGTTCTGGCCTAGTAGCCAGGTCAAGATAAACACTGCTTGTGTATCAAAGGTTTCCTAAGTCCTCTGAGGGACCAGAAGAGGGTCTACAGAATTGATGTTTTGTCTGCACAGTGGCCTGCTGATGCAGCCGAATATTGTGTCGACAAAGGGCAGGAAGGTGGCCAAGATAGGTTTCTCTGGGGCTGGGGCAGCAGGGAGCCAACATTTCTGGCATACCACCTCAAGGAGCTGACAATATCAGACAACACATGTAAGTTGAGAAAACAACTGGGGCAGGGACTCACTATCTGTGAGAAATATACTATTACCATTTTAGAGGTCACCCCTCTGGGAGCCAGAAGATCTGACATACCACCACAGGGAGTTAGTGGTTCTTGCATACATGTGGACTGGAAGCCGGTAGCTCAAATATGCCAATAAACCTGTGAAATAGAGCCAGTAGTTCTGACATACCACCACAGGAACCTGGCGGTTTCAGGAAACTTTTGGACAAAGGTTACCTACAATATGTAGCCTTTAAAATATGCATGTTTCATCTGGGACAGACTAAGTGTCTGGAATTGCCAGAAGGAAGCTTACAAAAGCCAGGGACAGCCAAAGTAGTACTGGAGTATGTGGCGCTACCTAAGTACAGGAAGGCTATGGCCAGTGTGCCTAAAAGGCCTGGGACTGGAGAGAAGTACCTTAATTAAAGAGGTAAACCATCCCCAAGTACCTAGGGACTTCACAAGACCAGGAGGCCTTGTTTATGGCCACCAATAAAAGAACTCTTTGACACAGAGCTTCCATCTGAAAGCTGAAAGTCGACACCTCTCAACAGGGAACCAGTTTTCCTGATACACTAACTCAGGAGAGTGACAGTATCACCTAATCCAGGGAATCCGAGAAGACAACTATGAGACCCTGCTATATAAGACACTGTCCTTCATGGGACATACAGGGCTGCTAGCAGATTGAAGACAACAGGGGTTGCACAAAATACCAGGAAGTTGTCATGTTCTAAGTGTCAATTAAGTGCCCACCCCACTAATATCAATTATTTCACTAGGTTTGAAGATAATTTCTTCCTGTGATACTCATACATATTGAATGATCAGGCCTATGGAAAGCCTTCAGGCAATGACCGGCAAAATATGAAACATTTGTCAAATTTCTCCACAGTAACACTGCAGGCACTCTGGTAGCACACACATAAAAATTATATTTATGTTCACGTTAGACAAACTTCCCTCGCATATACAGAGGGATCAAAAAGTGATGCAACCCACATTAAAATATTTATTGATGAATGCAATTCGATATAATTTGACTGAATTAATAGACACACAGTATCACTGTGACTATACAATAGCCCATATGGGTCACACCATTTTGTAACATGCTCGCAGCAGTCCATCAGTTGTCTTCAAACAGCTAAAGAGCAAAGATCTTTTTCACAAGAGTGACAAGTGTTCATTGTAGAACACTACCTCCATAGCAACATAAATAATGTTTATGAATATTTGGCACTGTCTTGCCCATGAGGCAATGAAATAACACTGAATGTAAAAGAATAATATGAATTTAAATGCAATATATAATAAAATATAATTATTCAAATTATAACTGCCACAAAGCTACAAAATGCAAACTTAAATATCATACTTCTTTGTGAATATCCTACGTCAAAGTAATAATTTTGGCCTCATCATTATTTTTCAGTGAAGAAAATTGTTTTATTGTGTCAGAATCTCTAAATGACTTATCCTTCAAAGAAGAATAAGAAATTGATATTTTGGAAGCAATAACTACCACTAAAGATTTTATGTGGTTTCCCTTCGGTACAGAAACAAATGTTTCTATTATATTAAAATTTAAAATTCGTGTAACATTTCATACAATAATGATGGAAGTGCAATGCTTGGAATTATTATTTTTATTAAATGAAAGTTTCAAGAATCATCTTTCAAAACCTTTTATTTGTTCCGAAAACAAATATCTGCAACATTTTTATTTCCACCACACAACCCACATAAAGGTAATACTGTACCACTGTGTGAGATGACATACCTTCAGTCTATGTTATCACATCTGTATACCATAAGAGCACAGAATTCCCAACCCTCCCAAGTAATGATGTTGGAGATCATACTACCTGCCAACATTTAAAATTATCACATATTCAGTATTATAAATATACGTAATCTATGCTCATACTTCATTTAAAGATTTAATGTACAATTGAACATCACAGTTATTACACCAAGAAAAATGATTTTTAAATTATCTTATGAAATGAACACATAGTAACAGATTACCTACTGAAATTGCAATATCACAATAAACAAGATTATATTCAAATATCTATGTATATATGAACAAATTTTAATAGCTTCTATGCAAAACTATATTTCATGTTAGCTCATGGACATGTGTGTTTCAAGTGCTTTGAGACAGACTAAAAGAAAATAAGACAAGAGCAAAATTGTACACACAAAATTTGACAACAATTAATCATGAAGCTAGTTGTGTCACTATAAAAAAGATTATATTCTTTCCTTTATGTGTATCAGTTACAATATAATAGTTTTTTTGCAAAGTTATGCTTTTAATTTACTTTACAAAAATAGAAGTTTCTCGTGACTTGAAACAACCTTAAAAAAAGACAGACTTGTACTTACAAAACTGAATGTAGCTAATATGACTACAGTGAATGACACATCTAGCTGCACCATACATAAAATACCCCAAACACAATCACAGTTCTGTGTAACTTCAGGTCCTTAAAATTCAGAAATGTTATATTTTAAAAATATAAATCAAATTTTGAGCATTTCCAGAAATATCACACTTAATCTTCATAGCACCATCCACTAACTTACACTTTTTTATACCATGCAGTACAGATGTTACTAACCTTCAGGCATGCAAATACAACACAGGTGTTCTGTTACCTTCTTGAAGTGCACACAAACAAATCATTGGAAATGAAATAAACAGATACAAATCTGTGCATTAAGAATATTTTAAAGGAATAATTTTCAGATGAAAAGCCTATAGTCACTTTCCTGTCTAGCATCATTTAAAATCAGCTTCCAGTCCAACTGGAATCCCAAGATTAGACAAAAAAAAAATTAGTATACTTCTACAAAAAAAGTAATACTCTTGAATGGATACAACAAATCCTTCCCTCATGAGAAATGAACATATATTTAACTAAGCCTGTCATACACAGGACAGCTGGTCCCGGCCATGGGTCTTCTCATGCCGTGTCAACTTGTCCCTCCGAGCAAAAGCAACATTACAAACAGTGCAGACAAACGGTTTGCAGCCAGAGTGAATCAGTGCATGGCGGGTCAAGTCGCCCTTTGCTGCAAAAGTCTTTGAGCACTCCCTGCAGGCATGGGGTCGCATACCACTATGGATCCGCGCATGTTTCTTCAAGTTGGTACTGCGTGTAAAAGCTTTCGAACACACACTGCATACATATGGGCGTCGGCCAGTGTGAATTATGGCGTGTTTCCGAAGATCTGAACGCCCAGCAAATGCTTTACCACATGCATCACACATGAATGGACGTTCACCTGTATGAATGCGCATGTGTGTTGTCAATGTTGAGCTGTCAGCAAATGCCTTGCCACATATGCTACACCCAAATGGACGCTCACCAGTATGCACCAGTTCATGACGCGCCAGATGGGCACGTTGAGCAAATGTCTTCCCACAATCTGGACATGAAAAGGGTCTCCTCTCACTACCCACCTTGGCAACAACTGACAACTTCTTGCCATGTTTTAGATTCACATTTTGATTAACAATCTTTGAACGACAAGTTTTTATACGAACACCCAGGCATTCTTTGCTCACACCCTCCTCAGAACAGTTGTCATCAGACATGGAATCCATAGCCATGGAGTGTGGATCCACAACAACTACTGTGTCAATATCTTCAGGCTTAAATATAAGACTCCCTGCATGAAACACATCCTCTCTCTTTTCAAACAGGAAATTATTTGACGTCACATCAAGACTGTATGTCCACTCTCCTGCCGAGGGCTTATCTCCTTGCAGACTGGATGGCTCAATGTCTAATAGCTGAGGACCCGCTTTATACAGCATTTCATTTTGTTTTGCACCCATGTTCTGCAAAACACAAGCCCCAAAAGTCCCAGATCACCTTCTGACCTGACTTATAGCCTAACTACACTTACTAGCTACTGATGCTCATCACATTTTATTTCATAAGTACTTACATCACCTCTGGCAGTACCGCAATCTGATACAAAATGCAACATGCTGTTTTCCGCATCCTGACTTGAGTCTTCTTGAACAGTCTCCTGCTTTATTGTTACTACCTATCAGAATGTGAGACATATATAAATTAGCAGCTGCATACTGTTAATGTCTTGGGGGGGCCTTCTTTTTTAGTTAAATATACTTTATATGAAATAAATACAGTTCTATTTCTATTAGGACTAGTGCCCCAAGTCACTTGTAAGAGTCCCTGTAAACTATAAACAGCATTATGACAAAGACTTCATGACACAATACAAGCACTTTCCCATGCCTAGATAAAATAGAACACGGATATCAGCACAAAATGTGTACGATAATTCAATAAAGCAGGCAAATTAGCAATAATTGACAGAATAATTTACAGCTAAGAGAATCAACAAACAAAACAAAACCAGGTCACTATTCACAGCAGTACATGATGAAATATAAAAAATGTATCTGGAAATGGATTTGTCTGGATTAGGATCAGGATAGCTACAGCACTGCCTATGCTCTGAGTATGTTATCATAACTAAAAATATTTAGGGAAACAACTCATAATATCACATATTTAAAAGGGTAAAAAGTCTAAAGTTGCCACTATGACTAATCACTACTCAATGAAAAATGTGGAAGTGATGTCAAGCTCCAAACATTCTTAGCTTTGGCTTTAGATGGAGATGAATGGTCAGCTTCATGCTCCAGCCTCCTTTCCCCCAGTACCCATTGGACAGGAGGCTCTTTCTTCTGTGATGTCTATACCAGCTCTGGGGCCCACCAGAGCTGGTATAGACATGGCAGAAGAAAGAGAAATCGCTGTCACTGCCAAGAACTGAATCCCAATTATCCTACCAAAAACCTAGTTACTATACTGACAGAGCTACCCTGGCTCCTCTAAAGACTTCTGTACTTGACATAAAATATAGATCAAACTAGCAAACTGACTGCTGTGATAATAACATTCCATTTAACAACTGAATCAGAATGTCCATTCTAATAAATTGTCAATTCAGCTGCTTTTTGCCAGATACTTGAATGATACCTTCTACTTTGTTCCGATCCATCATATAGTCCATGTATTACAGTATGTTGTAGTTCCACTATAGTGTTGGTAAATGACATAATCATATAAATAAACAAGTTTCATCAAAGTTCAGATTTCCACAACAGAACTGAACGTTGATAAAAATATACAGACTTCTGTTATGCACTATCTACGAACAGGATGGTAACACTATGGCAAAGTGGTCTTTCCGCTATATCATGGGTACTCAACCTTTCCCAGATTGAAAGCAAAATTCACACTTACTTATTGACTTGTTAGCTAAATGGTCATAAATGAGGACAACTTATTTAAACTTCATGACAATTCTTTAAACTGTTACTAATGTACTACAGCTCACTGCTGTTTTTGGATGAGATGGTAAACAGAGCAACATGGTACAAAGGTAGCCAGCCCACACAGACCTTCACCTTCACGCTAAGTTAGCTCATCATTCAGCACAGAAAAGGGTCGTCTTATCAACAACGACTGGGCAGGGCAAGACCATCTGTGATCTAGTAAGCTTAGGAGCATAAATGCACCAAAACTGACATCTTCACTGCTGTGAAAACCTCAAATGTTGCACACGTACAGAGTTCTAAGAATAGAAGTAACAGCACTACAAAAGGCCTTTTTCATTTTAAGATACAGATACAGAGAGAGAAATATTAAACAGTGTAAATATTGGCAACTAAAAATCAAACTGATCAAAAGAGCTAATGAGTATTTCTAAACTACAAACCAATCAATTAACTAATTAATTCAAGAGAATCAGTGCAGAAATGTACAAGTTTAAAAGCTTATCATAAACTGTTCCTTCAGCTTACAACTTCTCAGTGAATAAGTTCACTTGTGGGCATGATATATGGTACTCTAATTGGTAAGTGCCCCCCTTTCTCCCCATTTCCAGATACATTTATTTTAAAAACTTAATAAGTGGAATCTTGTTGCAATGTTTTTCAAAGCCTACAGTAGCAGCAGAACATCAGTACAAGCCCCAGCTTCATGGAAAGAAGACACAGATTCAACTAAAAATCTGTGTACAACCGTTCTTTGCAGTTAAAAAAATGTACACACAGCTGGTTCTACTCAGTATCATTCAACACGTTTTCACACTATTAACAGTGCATGGTTTCAATCCACTATCACATGCATCAGCACCAATTCCTACAGCAGCAATATACAATACAATATCACCAAAGGTATTTTCTGTTCTTTTCTGTTCTGTCACAAAACATACATGCAACACTCAATTATGTGTTTCAGTACTGTGTTAATTACTGTATTATTTACAAGTGTTAATATTAATGGCTTTAATGTGTGTTACCATAATCTCTTAGAGGTAAATGTATATTCAAATTCAAACATCTAGCCTACCTTAAAGAACAATATTAAATGTAAATTTATATAAAATTGTTAAGTATACTCTGTGTAATATTAGTTGTCACAAGTCTTATTCTATAGTCCTATAATGTCCATTCATTGTAATATTATGTAAAAAGCAAAGTTCTAGAAAACATCATAGATATTACATGGTTAGTTTATGAATCCTGCCTCAGACATAAAGACGTCAGGCAGTACAAGCTATGTCACCCATATCACTGAACTTCCCCACAAGAAGATATCCAGTAAGGGACCACTTGTTTATTGTTAATTCCGGCACAGAACACCGATATCAACCTCTTGACCACTGTGAGAACCTCAAATCTCATATTCGTTCATTTCTTGGTTTATTTAATTACAAACGATCGGGGTTAAGCATGCCACAGAAAGGCACATGGCTAAAATTCACATTCCTGGGAACTAAGACTGCAAACACACATTTATCAAAGCTAAATTCCTTATATATTACCTGACAAGTGTCACCAATGTGCTGTCTCTTCAGGTACTGTCGCAATGTGGCATCTGAATGTTCACACTGTTCCTTGAATTCAAAGGATCTCTCTACTTGATACAAACATCGATGGCATATCAATGCAGGGAGGCCATCTCCTGCATATATCTGTATAAAAATTAATAAAAACATTATAAAATCAGTATTATTTCAATTACTTCAGAGAATTAGGCAACTTTAAATAACATCTCTGAAAAAGTCTTCATCCAGCCCAATACATATACAAAATTACCATCGTCGTCATCGTTATCATCAAGAGTGTACTTTAACAATTTCATGTAGCAGAGTTATTCCTTTGTTAACACCACATAATATACCAAAATCTGCAGTGAATAAACAAAACTGCATCTTTCATGCATGAGTCTCCACGCATAAAAGGCTGTGTAAATATTTATGTAAATAGCTGTAATAAGTAGATTTTAGACACCAAAGCACTTTGGTACCTGGGATTTGTGCAGGCCTGAAAAAATGTTTTGATTACATGGATAGCCAGAATAAAACTCCATTTCTTATTCACAGGGCATCAATATCAATAGTCAGAATGTCGAGAATCCTAAAAAAACCATCAAATTTTAAACTATCACTCCTTTCACCAACTACCCAGTTACACATTGTTTAATTCATACAGCAGAATATTTTAACAATTGTTCTTTTATCAAATTATCACACACAACACATATGAGTAAGCATGCAAGCTGATTAATTATTCTAGTTCGTCAGAGATAATGAACATGACTTTTTAATTTGAAATGGGCTGTCCCATACAGACAATACTGGATGGCACATATATTCACTTTTCCTACATAAGCAAGTAAAGACTAATATAAAGCTACATTCTTTACATTATAATGGCATTGAAGTACACACATCATGCATAACAAGAACTTTATTTTATGAATCACTTTTACTTTCTAGCCATGATGACTAAATATTACACCGCACAGACAATATATTTAAAACCAAGTGTACAATACATTTCATTTCAAAGACAAGAAAACAGTTATTTTAGTTATAATTTCTAGGAACCCTCTAAAACCAAAAACATTAATGCACATTCTGTTAACATGAAACATGTAATTTCTGAAAATACCATGTACATATACATAATTTCTAAGAGTATTTTATAATTAACTTCGAATTTACAAGTGACTGAGATAAAAGAATACTCTCACAATTAGGTACATCACCTGCATTGTTTTGGCTCTAATATGGCTCTATAATAAATCCATTTCAAGCTTCCACAATGACCTAATATAATTGAATAATTGCATAAAACAGTACTTTATCTTATCCTACTTTTAATATAATTCAGTAACGTCAACGCTAAGATAATCAGTAATTCAGTAAATATGGAACTGTTCCAAACTGTTTGCTTTCAAATTTACAAAATTAAATGGTCTTAGAATTATATTTCCAATTTCAGAATAATTACACATAGGTTCATAATCTTAATGTATGTGGTAAAGAACATCAATATGCCATCGCCTATCGCCCATACTATTAATTATCATATTTAATACCAGAGAAATACTGACGGAAAATTAGTTCAATTCATGATAAAAACTGTAGAATGTAGCCCTACTGGTGACTTCAATCACCTTCACATACAAATGTTTTACAACGCAAACCTCAGACGTAATCACCAAACGGGTAACAAGGAGACGCAAACAACCCTCTGCTCCAAACAACCCCACAACAGCCCCTCTGGAATGGGCTAGTAGATCCAAACAAAATCACCACTAACCTGAATTGATACACAAGACATGATTTTAGATGGTAGAGAGTTAATCCCCTGGCCAGAATCTGCAAATATTGCAGACATTACACCTCCTTGTGATAAACAGAACCGACATATCTGATTAAAATTAAAACAAATATCTCTTCCCTTTTCCATTTTTTACGTATACTGTCAGCCCGACCAACCCTGTCAATTTGGGCCGGACAGTGCCACCAACAACAAGACTGTGACTAAAACTTCTCTATGGACGAAGGGTGAACTAAAGAGACATTCTAAACAAATGAATAACCGTGACGTACAGTGATTAAATGTTGTCAATTATCAAATAACACGTTCATATGGAAAACACATATTTACAGACCCATGAGAACGGATGTAGAAAGGAATGGAAGGAGCCAAAACATATCCATCAGATATAATATTAAAGAAATATGTTAACAAATATTATTAATATTATTTTTTTAAACACAAGAAACTGTTGAACTTACCAAATAATTACGAAGTATCTCCCTGTACCGAGCTCTGAGATGTAGGTATTCTAAATAATTTCCTGTTTTCCCTTTGGCTTTTCCAGATACCCAGTAAGAGGAAGTTCTTGCTGGGCCAGGTAGCAACAAGCAAATATCAAACATCTAACAGTACACCAAATCGCTTTGAATTCTTCATTATGCTTTTCATGGTCTACTTTGTAAACAAGGTTGAATTAATGTCTTACCAAACTTTAGTAAAGTTATTTTAGAATTCACATGATTCTTTGAGAGTTGTCCTTTTATTCAACACACAGAAAGACGTAATGTCACGAACACTGTTTGTTGTCCAAATATTTTTCAGTTGAAAAAAAGAATGTAAGGTCAACCAATGCAATTAATAATGCAACCAATTTCTTAAAACCGCACAACCAAGGACCAATTTTGTACCAATATTTAAAAAACTGAGTACTATATTCTTTGATTTTTTTCAACATTTCTTTTGTGAGAAAAGCGGTTGGTCCGCGTATTTAAATTATTTTCTTATGAAAAAGAAAATCCATACAATAGAATGGCTGTTGCAGTTAGTCCTGTACAACACAGTCACAAATGTAATCTCCTGTGACGTTGGGTCAAAAGTCACATCACACACACGTACAACAAACATTTCGCGATTAAAATCGCCAGAAATATGCTGTAACACTCTACGTTAGAGCAAGCAAGAAACTAAAATAACTTACATTCGACAGACAGTTTTTCCATACATTCACTCCAAATCTCAAATACAGATTATAATGTATCTTTTGAATGCCCCTGCGCCTCAAACGGTCAGCGTAAGCCTCAACGAGCATGCTAATAACCAATTTTAACTCCAAAAGGGCAAGCTTCCATTATCGTCCTGAAGAAGGAGGCAGCAAGCACCTCAGAAACGCTGGTAAACTTCTAACAGAGTACGCAGCGTTAAAACACGCAAAACAGCCATCTTTATACTAACCGCCGTGAGAACTCACATATTACAAACGTAGTGACATCTGGGAAGAATAGTCAAAACTACTACTACAAGAACTGCAAACTCAGGTGGCTCTCTTCTACCTTCGTACTCGCCGCCATGAGAACCTCGTATTCGTATTGCTCAGTCCTACAATTCACAATAAATGTCGAAGTCGTCGGCAATGCCAGGCTACGTGATCCTTTGGGACAATCACAAAGCAGCTATATTTAACCTTTCGATACTGAACATATATATTTCTCCCAAAATATATTCAAGTGCAGGTGGAGCAATGTGGCCCAGCTCAGCATTAAAACTAGCCACATCAGTCTCATTTGGCAAATATTAGTAAAAATAAAATCACCAATAGCACCTATTCAAATTGGGACATTATAAAACATAGAGTTCCTCAAGGTTCAATATTTCCAACCACACATCCATCAAACTAAAGTTGCTTGATGGAATAACCTCCTACCAGCTGCAGTAGCCCCTAGTTTAAACATGCCAAAGCCTTCCCCCATGATGAAAACCCCACTAACATAAGCACATACCTAGTTACAGTATATATGGCACTGTTTACCATTTCCAGCTTTGTCTCTCATACGCAGAAATGGTCAAACCTTGAAAGGGAAGATGTCTCAGGCTTACTCAAAACTCTGCCCTTAGTTAGCTTTTTGGTTGGCTGGTTGAACCAGTCACATGTTCACCCTGAAGATGACAACCACAATGTTTGCCAAACGTTGGATAATACTCAACATTACATACCGAACTCCAGTCACAAAACCTAAGGACCAAAATTAATCAGCCATGTGTTTCTTAAAGAGCACTTGACTCTTTACTGTATGGGGACCACACAATTTGGTGAAAGACTGGTAGTTCCAGAAACTGAAAAATGAATTTATTAATTCAGATTTGGACATAATGTTCACAAATAAATGTTATCTGACTTAACAAAAATTTGGCAGGAACACGGTATTATTCTGGGGCTCACAATTAGCTGACACATGCATGTGAGAGATCTGATGTTCTGTTTGGTGAGACGTACATTAACATTAGTTAATGTGAGTGTATCTTGCTTGATGAGTTCCTTTCGGACCAGATACTGCTGTCAGTTGAGTTCCTTGGTTGTTTAATGACCAACAAAGTTTACTATGGCCAGATATTAATATATATCTAAGTTCATTAGAGGTCCTGTTATGTTGGTCTTTTATTGGTACACTGAGTGTTGTTGCAAAATTCAAGTCATGGCTTGTCCATGTTTCTTCATGTGAGTGCTACATACTGTTTCTCCTAGATGCCAAATTGGTAGTAACATGCAGGTAACCTTGTGTGAGAATGTATTCTGTTCTCATTTTGTTGGTATCCTTCTGTCATACTACATGAATGTGTACATGCAATGTTCATGTCTCCAGTTTATTTTTGGGTTTATGTCATTTGAAATGTTATGAATGCTACTCACATCTAAAAACATGATCCATGCTGGGAGGTGTTTCACCCTAGGTGAGAACAATCAGGGCTGAATGCTTAATGACACTTGGACCATTGTGGGAACACTGGCGATCAGAGATGGCTATTTCTTGACATAGCAGATCAAAGGATGCTTGGAACTTAGCCCTTAGTTGGTCCATTTGCTGCTGGAGTTAAGTTGGCTGCTTAGTGACTTGATCTGAGTCACTTGTATTGAACAAAATGCCAGATTGTTGTACCCTAGTCCTTTGGGATGTTGCAGGTGTACCTGCTGTGGTAGCCTGTTTCATAAATCATGGCACAATGACTGTCCACATTGCTTTCTTTCCTGGGAAAGGTGTGTCTCCAGTCCTGGTGAACAGATCTAACTTTGGAACTTAGCATTCTTTTTAAAAAAACACAGACAATGGACATAGTCCAAGAATTGAGGGATCCCAATTTTAATATTTAAGCTTCGAAACTCCTGATAGAAATTTAAATTCATTTTTATATTTACCTATTAAAAAACTGACATGAGACACACTGAAATATACATACTGCAACTTTAAATGCCTATTCATTAAACATGTGCTAACGGCATTAAAAGCAAACACAAGTGATGATAAAAATAGAGAGACAAAAAGACAATACACTCTCTGAAAAGTTACACGGACATATTATTTAGTAATGTTTGTATTGGACTTGTCATTATGAGTCCATTAATTCTTTGACAGGCACACGTATACATATACACACAACTACACAAAGGTGAGGTAGAGCATGCATGAATGTTTAACATTAGTTATATTTTAAAATGTTAACATGGTCTGCCATTCCTGATAGAAACCTCACTTTTTGAATGCCTACTAGATGGCAAGAAATGTATTTTATCAAAAGAGTGTGTGTGGTTTCCAATTTATTAAATTCAGTATAGTTCCCTGTTCATGAATGCAAATCCATGAGTATTAGTTTCTCCAAAAATCACAAACGTTCAGGTGGCACGGTGAAAATTAACCTATCTAAGTGTTTGAATCACTTTACTGAAGGTAACAAGAACTGGAGAATTACAGTAACTTAAAAAAAATTAGAGCTATCAACATAATCACAATATAGAGGCATACTGACAAAATGTTTTTACATTAATGTTTATTCACAAAGAGACAGGAAAAGAAACAAACTTAACTTCTAAATGGCAGGATGCAATCTCTGAACATCTCTACCCAGCTTTCACCTGAATGAACAGTAAACAAAACCAAAAACTCTGTAGAATGCAATACGGAAAATTGTTTGCAATGTTCATTAAAAAAAAAAACTCTTGGATATTTCAAATACTGTATCTTTATACTATGGTATAATTATATTGAAAGTGAACAATTAAAACCCAATTACAACTGTAGTATAACAAACAGAAAATGTGACAGCAGAGAAGATGGAAACATGGTAATCAATTAATTTATTCACATGAGACAGAAAAATCACATCTTGCATACCAAAAGGGTACTGAAGCACTAGAGCAGGATATACAGATACCAACTAAGGCAAATGAAAAATTCTAGTAATGTTTTTGTTGGCCCATATTATATGACTGAAGTCTGCGTAAACATATATGGTTAAAGGGAAATAGAAAGGCCTTAAATGGCAACTTTATATATTAGGAACTATCCAGTAGTGCAAAAATCTAATGCAACATTCACTGCTGAACAGAAAATTGATCATCATTTAGTGCAGTGATTCCCAAACTATGCTCCCTCAGAACACTGGTGTTCCATGAGTTGGAACAAGGTGTTCAACAATTTAAAGGGAGGAATGGTAGTCCTTATCCAATTCAAAATTAAATGATAATTATTCTAATTTGTTCAGAAGTATAGCACACCATATTTATCACTAGTAACATTGTTCCTAATTTGAAGGATAACAAAAAAACACATTTGTGCCATGTTCTGCAGACAGCACCATTATGTCCAAGTGCTCTGTCAATGGAAAAAAGTATAGGAACCACCGATTTAACAAAATTTCAAGTAAAGAAGGTTCAAAAACTTTCAGTATATCACGGATGGGCATGTCTGCTGTAACAGTACATTTAGCATCAGTGCTGATAATTTTTAGTAGAGGTTAACCGAGTTAAATTTCATCAGAATCAGACAAATCATTATGAACTTGAAAAACAAGATACTTTTTTTTCATTTGGCACTACCATTTGAGAGTCCACCTGTTGAACTCCAGTGACTACCATAAGGTCCCAGTCCCTAAACAACTGCCATTTATTTAAGACACAAAGTTACTGATGGGATAATCAGTAAGGATCTACTATACATATCATGACTGGTTGTAGTACTATGGCAGTTTGACATTCCTTCCATCATTACTGTATCTTTATACTATGGTATAATTATATTGAAAGTGAACAATTAAAACCCAATTACAACTGTAGTATAACAAACAGAAAATGTGACAGCAGAGAAGATGGAAACATGGTAATCAATTAATTTATTCACATGAGACAGAAAAATCACATCTTGCATACCAAAAGGGTACTGAAGCACTAGAGCAGGATATACAGATACCAACTAAGGCAAATGAAAAATTCTAGTAATGTTTTTGTTGGCCCATATTATATGACTGAAGTCTGCGTAAACATATATGGTTAAAGGGAAATAGAAAGGCCTTAAATGGCAACTTTATATATTAGGAACTATCCAGTAGTGCAAAAATCTAATGCAACATTCACTGCTGAACAGAAAATTGATCATCATTTAGTGCAGTGATTCCCAAACTATGCTCCCTCAGAACACTGGTGTTCCATGAGTTGGAACAAGGTGTTCAACAATTTAAAGGGAGGAATGGTAGTCCTTATCCAATTCAAAATTAAATGATAATTATTCTAATTTGTTCAGAAGTATAGCACACCATATTTATCACTAGTAACATTGTTCCTAATTTGAAGGATAACAAAAAAACACATTTGTGCCATGTTCTGCAGACAGCACCATTATGTCCAAGTGCTCTGTCAATGGAAAAAAGTATAGGAACCACCGATTTAACAAAATTTCAAGTAAAGAAGGTTCAAAAACTTTCAGTATATCACGGATGGGCATGTCTGCTGTAACAGTACATTTAGCATCAGTGCTGATAATTTTTAGTAGAGGTTAACCGAGTTAAATTTCATCAGAATCAGACAAATCATTATGAACTTGAAAAACAAGATACTTTTTTTTCATTTGGCACTACCATTTGAGAGTCCACCTGTTGAACTCCAGTGACTACCATAAGGTCCCAGTCCCTAAACAACTGCCATTTATTTAAGACACAAAGTTACTGATGGGATAATCAGTAAGGATCTACTATACATATCATGACTGGTTGTAGTACTATGGCAGTTTGACATTCCTTCCATCATACTGTATGTTGGCAACAATGACAAATTAATGTGGCAAAACAGAAAATCTGCTAGAAAAATTTTATGTATATATTCAATACCATATTTAATCAAAACACGCCTACAGTCAAATTTTAGACTGTACAGACATCTAGAACAACTGGTCCTGCCAACTATAACATTGGTGCTGTTCCCAGTATTTCTGAATACAACATTAATGGAAGGAGTTATTGTAATATATCTGAAATTATATGATTCCTTGATGACATTACTTAAAATACTCACCCACAAGTAGAACTCTGTGGGCCTGTTAAATACTTTCTAAAACAATGAATGTGCCACCACATGCAATGATTTCTGTTGTAATATTTGTGTAGGCATGATTCAAAAAACAAACGACTTGCTATCTGTTAAACTGTCACTTGATACTCGTCTCATCTCATTTCTGTTCTGTGGATGCACTTCCTGTGGACAAAAGATAAAAGCTGGTCCCTCTGCAGTTTACCTTGTTCTGCTGTGTGGGAATCATGAACTTTGACACCTTGTTCCCACCACCAGATATGTCGATTCTTAAAACAATTCCTGCAATGTCAAAAATTGAAATGAATTTCTTCACAACATGTGGGTCATAAACATAAATAAGACTAAGTAACGTCTGCCGATGGAGTCCAATTTATCAGTTCTTGTGTTTCAATTCTTTGCTCATTTCCATTATTACAGTTGTGGTCTTTGGAGTATTCTAGCATCCTCCTGACAAAGAAGTTAAAGAGATGGAAGTGGGATTTTGTTGACTCCCAACTACAGAATAATGAAAATAAAGGCTGATAAAAGATTAAAGCTTAATTTAGACTCTGAATCACAGAAAGATTCTGCTACTCCCCACATTCTTTAAGCTTTGACACTCACAAAGGTGAAGGCATTCATAATAATTTACAGTTGACTAGACCAATCATCATGGCAGTCCAGTACATGATTCAAAAACATTTCAGTTAATGCAATAATACAGTTAAAAAAATTTCATAATCTGTTAGTAAACTCTTAAGTGTGTGCTCTGGCTAACACAAGTGCAGGCAGCATCTACAGCCTGAGTGTAAATTCTGGTTTTCAATTAAAGAGTTACAACTATCTACTTACAAGGTACTGGAACATGCTTCTTTGGGGCGATCTTTGTCAAATTTAGAATCCTTTTTGAACGGACTAAAATAATAGTGAAGATGAGTACTACGGCTCATGTGCCTCATCCAAGGTTCTGAAAGACAGATCACATCATACATTGATTACTAATATGAAAAATATACTGAGGTCTGATGTCTTGCAACAAGAGAGTTATGCCTGTCTTCATGAGAGAGCTTCCCATGTCTGCAAGTTCTCATGTTTTCCACTGACATCACACTTCCCTTCTGTTTCTCTATTAAAGTTATGTTCTGCAAATTCAAAAAACTAAATTATGTTGCAAAAAGATTCCATAGTAATTATACACACTTTACTTGCGCTAGTGCAGTTAATAAAACATGCAGTTGCAACCAGGACTGACTTGAAATGTGAAAGGGATAATTTCTGGAAATAAATGGCGTCACAAGCAAGCATATGAATCACAAACTACACTGACTGAAAAACATTTGCATGGTGACAAAAATGCTAATGGCGGCCTATATATGCACCACTACTTCTTCCATATTCATGCAGAGGAACTTATTTCTTTATAGTTTAATTAACAATGCTTTCAGTATCTAGAACATATAATGTCAGATGACAGGGAGTAACGAACTGTAAAGGATGCAGAAGGAAGTGGTCACAGCCTAATTTAAGGTGCAATCCAGGCATATGCCTGGAGGAAAAGAGGTAAACCATGAAAAACCACAGTCAGGATAACTGGTCTCCAGGCCAAGATTTGAACCAGGAACCTCCCGAACAAGAAGCAGCAGAGCTAACCACTCAACTGTTCGGTGTGGAGGAATTCATAAGATACACACATTCACTGTATACAACAAACAGTTGCATTTTATTCACTAAATAACAAGTTATGTTAAATGAACACACAGCTTCTTGAATATGTTTTATCATACCCTGAGTTGCCTTCAAGAACATCAGTCCATGTGGTAAGAAGAATCTGTCACCAGTTTCATATGCCAGGCGATAACTGCCTCCTGTTCCTTTGATCATTCGTTGATTTAACCTATGCAAAGAAAAGGTTTTATGACTATTAACATAATAACAAAACTGTGTCTTATTCTAGGTAAAATACATTTCTTCTACTCATTAATGCACTAATACTCCTTTGAGGGGGAAGGAGAAGTTTAAACTGCTCCAACAGAATTAATCATTGTGACCAGCAATCCTAATGATTACAAATATCTATTATAAAACATAACCACAACCAGTAACATGATAGACACACAAATCTGCAATGTGAGAGTAACACTAGTCCCACATAAATACTGGGTCTTAACCAATGTGTACTAACAGGTCTTCGAGAAGTAATATCTCAGATGGAATGATAATTACAGAAAATGTTTTCCAGTTTCCAAGTTCATAAATAATAATTGCCCCATTTCTCAGACAAATTATCAAATAAAAGGTGGCAGTGCCAATGCAAATGTCATGAGACTGAAGGGAATACACATGCAGAAATGCCACATGGTAGTAGCTGAAGACTCTCTGTTACCAATTTGATAAACTGTTCACACATCAAAATTAAACCACTAATTATTAATGTCACATGATTCTACACCAGCTGGTGAATTTACAGAAAACCACCACAGATAACATCTGGTAGAAATCAGACACACGCTCCAATATATCTGAAAAATTCAGTGAACTAACCAACAGACCATCATGTGATGATACTATTTAAGTGTATTACATACTTGTCAAATATTTCCTCAACAAATTCCAGGTCATACAGCTTCTTCACATGGATAGATGTGAGGTCTAACCTGCTATCCTTGTTAAGGGCTTCTGCAAACTGGGAGCACAGTTTGTTTCTGAAAATTCCAAACTTTTCTCATTAACTTTTTAAAACAAATTTACTGATAACAAACACATTCAAAAATAATATTTTTTAAATTAATTTTATTATGATATTCAGATAGCAAATCATATTAAAATTAAATTTATTTTCTTTATTTTAGTACCAGTTTGAGGAACCACATGCAGTGAAAGTCTTAACTCTTTAATGTGAACCCAAACTGAATCTGCTCAATTAATTTTACCGATCTTCTCTTTTATCGATATCTTAAAACTGACTGTGTCTAGAACATTTCTCTTAGAAATAAAATGGTGGACAGATAATAAAGCTAATAAGTGTTACTGTGTTTTATGAAACACACTTAAATATTCCAAGTTAATATTCAAACATACGAAACGATACAAAGAAAAATGAAGGAAACAATACAAAACTGGAAGATGAACACCTCTCAAGAACACCTATTTCAGGATTTGATTAACAGCCCTCTGGACAGTGAAAACAGATATGCTACCTAGGCATGAGTCACCAATGAATATACCTTAATGTGAGATGTTCTCCTGATATATCTATGCCTCCAAGAAAGATGGCATCAATGATGTGCAGTGTTGTGAACTTGCACTGTGACCTGCCTTCACCCCTGAGTTCCATCACTATTTCTCCATACAGAAGTGTATCTGGACTCAGTTCCAGGTGATCTACTTTGAGCCACCGATTGCCATCAAGCCTGAACACTCTGTTGCGCCCCAAACCTGTAAGTAACCAGATGACATGACAAATCTTAAAAAGAAAAGACCAGTAATTTGTTATTCTAATAAAACAGAACCTAACCGAAAAGTTTCAAACCCTGATGATTATGCAGATGACCACAAAACAAACAAAAACACAATGAAATACGAAGTTCTGAGAAGAACTTTATGATTCTCACCTTTCTTCAGATATTTAAATTTATATAGTAAAGCTAACCTAAAGGGAAGGAATAACCTAGGGTACCTAACAGTAGATGACAGGATAATATCAAAAGCAAAAGGTGTGAAGATATGAACTCGATTAAAATGACACAGGACAGGGTCCAGTGGTGGGCTCTTGTAAAACTCCAGGTTCCACAGAACTTTCTTGACAAGCTGAATGATTATTAACCTGTTGTAAGGACTACTCCATGGAGTAAATTAGTAAGGCTAACAGAAATTATGTATTAATAAATTACAGTAATACATTTCTGTACATACGGCCACTAGTGTAGATTCTCTGCACAATAATGTTCACAAATAAAACATAAAAGTTAGGCATGTTTATATGTTTGTAATGTTTAGCGTACAAAAATATGTTTCTTCAAAAATTTTTTGGTATTTTTGATGATTACTGGAAGGGTTAAAGAAGAAATAACAAAAGAATAAAAATGCAGAAAAATTTTACCAATTAGCCAGGACCTATTCTAGAAATGCCTAAGGAGAAAATACAGATCAAATGCAGTAGAAAACAACAAAATTAAGTACGCAATTTGAAATTCTCACATCAGTAAAGAGGTTGATGTTCATCTTCTGGGTAATAACAGTGTGAACTTGCAGATGGAAGCAGTATGATCCTCCCATTGGTATCTACCTACAAGTCCACATGACATTACTACCCAGAACACCAACATCAAAAATAAAATTAACACCTTTTTACCTACATCTCCTGTCTCTATCCAGAACATATCACAGTCAGCGCTGATCTGCATGAGTAAACCACATTTTGCAACTGTTTACTCAATTTCCATTTCCCTCTTTTCCACTCCTCATATAGTAATTATAGCTTATATGAATGTATACTTTGTAATATTAGTTACACAGTGATTCATAAAACAAACTATTACTGCTGGAGACAAAACTAAAACCTATGTTTGATGTTATCATGGGGTTAAGAACCATTAAACTTAATATGGAATGAGACGTCACATAAAATGTTTTCAACTGTTTTACCGAGGTAAAATGAACAGTCCTTCTTGTCCCGAGAGCTTCCTAGAACAATGCAGTGCCAATCATACACTGATTTGAAGACATGTTCAAGAATTTCAGGTCCCAACTCAGACTCCTTCGCAGACAGAAGCCCTAAAACAAGTGCCATAGTCATTAACAAGAATAAGAAAATTGCTTCTTTAAAGGTTTGTGACAATGACTCTTTCCTTGCCTCGTAACTATATTTTTTATTGTTTGTTACATGAGTAAATTTGATATTAACAGCATTTAAAGAGTTTGCTCTACCATCCTTTTCAGGTGACTGGTACTGATACTTGAGAATCATGAGGCTGATGTGGCCTCCAATGCACAAAATTCGTATCATGTTTCATGAAAATCTAACAACTGGTTTAAAATTGAATGTGGTAATACATGGACACATACAAACAACATGGTGATTATGTATGACTACTTCCTTTCCTTAAAACAGCAAAGCAGGACAAAATGGCTAATGCCATGGATAATGTCGAACATAAATGCAGTGTCACAAAAATGTATAACTGCTGGGACTGACATATTGTTTTCAATATAACTAATAACAGCTTCAAAAATATCATTAAGTAGCAAATATCCACCATAAACAGAATTTAATCTACAACTGCCTTTGAAATTAGTCTTGCAGCACAGAAATTGCAGTAATAAGAATTATTTGTTGATATTGCAATTTTAAAAAAAAAAATCCATAGCATTTTCTCTATATTCAGATCTTCTGAGACTGGCCTCTAATGGTTAACACAAAAATTCTCTCCCACCTGAAGGACCAGCTTTGATTTTCTTGAGAATATCATCACACTTTGTTTCAGGAGCAACTCTGGGGGGAGCAGTTCGCACTTTGTCAGGCACTTCCCAGTAACTTAAACACTGACGCTTCATCTCTGCTTGCTGTGTCTCGACTAGATTAGTATCCCGACAGAATGCAGCTATCTTCACTAGATTCACAACTTGTCGCTCTCCCAGGCTGTGAAAAATAATACTAATTAATGTTCACATACGATGTAACATAAACTGATATACTTCAATACCCATGCCAGTTTTACATTAAATTAACAGTACATAGTAGTGAAAGGGCAATTAACATTTATATCCTAATACCAAACTCACTTCATGGTCAAGAACAATCAGGTATTCCATGACTCTAAACTGCTGGCCTTTTTCAAGTTGACTTATTCTATTCTCATTTAATTATGGTTGCCAGACCATACAATGCACCTTTTATAATACAAAATAATACAGAAAGACAAGATCATGTAGGAAGCATGGTTCAAACACGAAATGAATACTAATACTGCTTATAAATTCTTATTGAAATTCACTTACAGTATCTAGGCTTAGATGGGAGGACAACATTAAAACAGAATTTCCAAATCTAGGTTGTAAAGATGTGAACCTGGATAAATTTACACTTAAAATTATTCACTATTTTGACTTTTTCCATCATCCTTGTTTAAAAGAAGAAACCATGACGTTTTGAAAACTGGGTCTGTTTCCGTCTTCAGGGGTGAGGTACCAAGTCAGTCTAGATAGTGAATAATTTTAAGCGTAATCCACCATTGTCAGAACCCTTTAGAATTGGATGAATTTAGTTTGGAAGTAATGCATATTTTGCTTTAAATCACAAAGAGAAGCCCATATAAAATTCAATTTAAACAATATCTAGCTTACCTGTTATTTGAACATACTATGTAGTTAAAGAAATTATCATCGGAGGTTAGAACTTCAAGGGGTACCACCTCCACAATATCCCTGTTTGAATTTGAAGCTGAACTAAATTTGCACAGCAACTCATTTACATGATACAAGTAGTCAGCAATATCCTTACAGTCTTCTCGCTTCCATTGGCAAATTATGTACCTGTAACATATTGTGATGTTACAGTGGCTGCAAAACATTTTGCCCTTTGGAGAAGACAGAAAAGGACCAACTCCATGTCATGTGAGGTTTGTTTAATAAGTACCAGGGACAACTTTGCTTTACACTACTTTTAGCACCAGAAATGACCCAGGTCATGTTATGTAAATTTATCTCTCTTTGGTCACCTGGATCAACATGGACCAAAAGACACTAAAACATGGTTCATGATTCAGTTGTTCAAATAAATATCTGCTACTGAAAATGGCTGCCTTCTAGGTTGTTGCGCCATGCAGTCTGGTAGAAGTACATCAGACTACACGGTGCAACAACCCAGAATTCGACCATCTTCAGACTCTCCACCATGAAAACCACAAATCCTATAAATATCTGCTACTGATATATTGATTCAAACAAAGCATTTAGGCTTCATCTAATAATGTATTTTTAAGCAGCTTCATATTCTAATGCTCTGACTACTATTTTTAATCTTTCATAAACTTACTACTGACCAATATTACACAACCACAGATGTTATGTCTGAAACATACATTTTCCATTGATGTTTTCCTGACAGCCCTTGAATCACTGTAAAGTTTCATGATCCGAAACAGCAGGTCTGGACACAGAGGCTAAAGGAAAAATCCTCTGTCCTCGTTGGGAATCGAACCCCAGTCGTCCAGCCTGTAGCTAGTCACTACACTGACTGAGCTATACCAGCTCTTTTTATTAATATACACATCAAATAATAACATGGCCAGGCCACAATCCTGATAAAGGCCTATATTAATGTAAATGAGGGTATGGACAACTTTTACCTGATTAGTTATTAAAGCAACATTAATTTTTCCATATAGAGACATTATATCAGTTACTGGTTCTGTTGGTATTTCATGGCTTTCTAGATACTTGCTATGATATTCCGCAATCAGCTCCATTGTAAATTTGTTCATAATTAAAAACAGCAGATACAGACATGATAAACTGTCTCCTTTTCTCCAATATCTGTTTTAAATTAAAGCAGTATATGTACAGGATATACCCTTACAGAATTCACACTATTCCTCAGCCATCAGTTCTTTAGTAGTTGGTTATAACAAATTTCTGTAGTATGAAAATCAAATCAAAATATGACTTCTAGCGACCATGAATCTAAGACAATGTATGAACTACAGAGGTTTTGTATTGTCAAATGGGATATGACTATTAATTGTCACTGGGAGGGAAGAAAACAATCGTGAGCTCTATTAAAGTATATTACTGCAAGCCATTATGTCAGTGAAGTGACTGGTTACAGGCTGGAGGCTACAGTTAAACTCTTACCATAGGCAGAGGTTACTCTTTACAACCACACACAAACCAGCTTTGGGACTCACCTAACTTCCTATGTAATGTATACCAGGGGGACAGAGTGGTCACAGCATGAAGCTGACCACTCACCAATGTCTATAATGCCTGGAGCTATAACTACATATTCCCATAATGCCCTGATGGTGTGGTACTTAAGCACCAGGAATATTTTACCTGACAATTGCAATTTCTTGTAAGGACACGGGTTTGGCTCACAGACTACTTTTAAATAACACAATAATCTATCAGCAGAGAGGTTACTTAGCATCAGGGAAGATGATTATGGACAATGAACTGAGACATAAGAAAACCATCCAAACTAGTTGCCAAACCAAAACTGTATCTAGGTATCTACCAATTAAACTAAAATATTTTACTGCTGACAAAATCTACTTGGTTTATGAGAAGCAGCGAAACTGCAAGTGTTGCTATGTGAGAAATTAATTTGACTATTTAATTCAGAAATAATTATTCATTCAAAAACAGTTACACTTTATAACTGTTCACATGCCTGTCCAAAAAGCAAATATTTACCTTTCGGAATTTGCCGGGCGGCTTGTATTAGGTTTGTGGATACTAATCCTCTGAAACGATTTGTACATGAGGTACACCAATCCCACACTGAATGGAGTGAACAGGTCAAACAGTTTGCACACAAAGTTACCACCTGCAAAGAAATTTGACAATACTTGGTTAAAAAGCAGTGTCAGTGAATATAACAAAAATATTGCATTCCTATTCAGATATATTGTATGTGTCTTACACCCAATTTGAGAAAGTGATGGGTGCAAATACGGCTGTTTTACATAGAAATGCTGACTGAACAGCTACAGCCACAAGCATTTTATTGATGGTGGATCTATCTAGCAACGCATGATTTCTTTGTGAAGTGCACATGCTAGGTATAGCCAAAAAATGTCAACAGTAAACTTTTATCCAGAATTAATATATACTTAAATATTCAAAAGTACTACTATGCCCTTGATAAGGCCAATGACATTTTTCTGTTTATCACTACATGCAAAATAGATCTACAGACCATTCAGTATCCTCTCCAATATATGCCAAGAGTTTTTCTCATTCCAGGACTGAGATTCTATGGTCCTCCATATCCCTTATGCCTTCATGACATGTTACTAAGAACAGCAATAAAGTTTATTTCACCTTCAGTTTCTACCTTCTTACTATTATTTCCATTACATTATTACTAGTATCAGTAAGTATTATTGTGAAAGTAATATGAAATTGGTTGCTGTTTAAAGAACATGGAGTCTAGTAATTAGGTTGCTAGCTTTAATGCCTCTGGACATACATTCTATGACAGAATTTCCTCCAAAATGAACGTAATAGTTATTTCATTGTGACTCAAATGCATCCAAAAATTTAACAAGAACATCTGTTTACCTTTTCTCACAATTAACAAGGCTACCAGGAACTGGCACAAGTATAGCTGTTTTGACAATATCTCCTGGATGTTTTCTTTTCCGTCTACTGAGAAACCCTGCGAAACAGATTCCCATTATATAATAGCATGTCATGTGTTTAGAAAAATTAATAAAACTCTGTATTTTGCAAGTACAGTTCTGTAATGGAACATCAAATTAAAAAGTTGATATTTCAGGTTCTCGTAGCGAGTATGAAAATGAATGTCTTCTGGGATCTTGCATCATGTAGTCTGGTAGAAGTTTACCGATGTTTCTGAGGTGTTTGCTGCCTGCAGGATAATAACTCTGCCATGCACCCTATAATAAGATATACAATTTGGTCGATATACACAGAAACATTACCTCTTCCTTTGCAAATATATACTTTCATATACAACCTAGAACATTTCATACAAATTAAATTACACAGTATTAACACAAGGAATAATAACCATCTTCATAGACCAACTTCCAGCCATTCATGCTTTCACAAAGCTGCCACCAAAATCATCTACAGTCTACCACCTAGTCTCAAAACTATTTTGGATAAAAAGGAGACATTTAAAGCAGAATTAAAACAGTCACACACCTTTTATTCTGTTAATTAATTTCTATACCCAAAGAGGACTCATAATCCTTTTAGGGGTCTTGTACTTATACATGCTGCTGTAGAGCACTGAATTAAGTAACACTTTAATATTTTTGCCAAACCTTTATCATTTGTAAAACTTCACCAATATTTTAGATTGCACTCATGTACATGTTTTGTACTTCATGACTTATTCCATATCCTTGGTATGACTAACTTCTGGATTCATGAAGTTTGTGTGTGCATGTGTGAGTGTATTGGCAAAGACAGTCTTCAAGACATTTCTACTCTGTATCAATGTGGTTAAACACATAAGAAAACTTAAGAATTTATGAGGTTAAGGACTATGAACTAATCCAGGAACACACAATGTATCACAGAATTAGTTAAAATTATACAGTGGGCTAACTACCTAACATCACAGACCCATGCAGACTTGATGGGACTTGCTTTTAACACTAAAATAAAATAGTACCACCACAAAGATTTTGATTCATCGCCCTGATGGTTGAGGCAGTAAGGACCTCTGAAATGTCGGTAAACATCTACCAGACTACACGGCGCAACAACCCAGAAGACAGCAATCTTCAGACTGATCATGAAAACCTCAAATCCTACTTAGTACCACCACCATCACACATACATCACATGCAAAACAAAAGTCAACATGTTTAGGCCTTATTAAATGCGTTAAGTGTGCTGCAATGTATAATATACTATGCTCTACTTACACCATCAGCCATCATAAAATGTACACCTATGTTGTGAGTGTGATCCATTACAAACTTTGAAAAATCTGTTATGTTATCGGGTTTATAGATATCTCCATCTCCATCCACCCCATTATGGCCTGCAAGGAATATGAAAACTTCAGAAACAAAGTTAAGTCTTGTATTCATGAGCAAAGTAGTCACAGTATATACACACTTTTACCCTGAAATGAATGTACGATTATAATTATTAATTAATTAGTTATGTTGTTTCAATTTAATAAGTTACACAGCACTGCACAAGATGTCAAGACAGTCAAGAATGGTGAAGAGGGAAGATTTGGTAGCAGTCATGGCCCATTTGAAGGCATGAAGAACTAAGAAAAATTACAAAAACCTCCATCAGGATACCCAGTTTCCAGGTGATTCTGAAATTAGGGCACAAATATTACACAGAATCTGTGGATTTTTTTAAACAGCATAGAACAGTCAGCTTCAGAAATATCAAGACATGCTTCTTTTACACTGATCTAAGGACTAAATTGAAAAAGCAGGAAGAACTTGTAAAAATCGAGTTTTGCATTCCTAATTAGAGTAAATGGCTGTGAATTTCTCTGGAATGAGATATAACTTATGAGACCAATATTAATATTATACATTCCACTTTTTCCAATTGGCTGTTCTCCTAATTTCCAAAGGGAAAGAACATATGATTATTATCCTAACCTCAGATGTGGTAAGTAATTTTGTCTTATGCTAAGACATCACTATTCAGAATTATATAAGGTGAGATTCTGTTTATATTTCACAGAACAATACTTAGGATAGTGCGCTTCTGTTCATTATAAAATCATTAACCAGGAAAAAAAACTATATGTGTTGCAATTCTACCAAGTTTTTAAAGTCACAATCTAGTAAAGTGAATGTAACAGTTGTGTGGCTAGCACTCCTGCTTCATTTCAGGAGGTCCTGTGTTCGAATCTTGTCACAGAGGCTGACAATCCTGAGGTTTTCCAAAGCATTCTCTAAGCCATTACTGCTGAATTCCACACCCTTTCCAGTTCACCATTCATGTAACCATTCAACACTGTGAAACTTCTGCAGTTGATAAAGTGTCATTAAATAATCCAAAATTCAACCCATTAAAATCTAGCAAGAAGAAATTATTGAAAACTAAAATCAAGGCACAGTAACCTTGATGCATCTCATATCTAGCAATACGACAAAGAGAATCATATTCATATTCATTATTTTCAAACTGTATAGAATTTTTAATATTCTGAAAGGTAAAATTTGCATTTTGTAGGATTTATTCATTTATACTGCATTACTACAATACAACCTTCACAGCAGGCAGCCAAATTCTTAATTTTATGTAACACGTCATAAATAAAGATAATTATGTTTATCCTACAGCATTGAATAAGAAATTTGTAGTTTAATATGGCTATAAATAAATGACAGTGACTATTAGCTATATAGAAAGCATACACGCTAAAAAATAAATCTTATCCTAATGACACTGCACTACACAAATCAGCTGGTGTAAGAGACATGTGCTTAAGTATCACTCTGTACTGTGCTATCACAACTTACAAGCACCAAAGGTAACATACTGACCATAATGCGGTTCAAATGTTTCACATGGACCAGCATAAAAATCCTGTAGGCGAAAATCATTCTCATGTTTAAGAGTAAATCCAAATCCCTTTGCCTTCCAGGATCGGCGCCACAGAACATATTCTGAGAAACCACCTGGGCCTGCACATACATCTGCAAAGTACAGTAAGTCACTGGGACCTACCACTTCTTCCTGTAATATCAAGAATCAACTGATAACACCTTCACTCTACTTACAATCCTGGATGGAATCAATATAATGGTAGAAGTTACAACTGCTGCTTCATATATGACAGACCCTGGATTGTAACCACAATCTGGAGGCTGGCAATCCCAACCCACATCATAGTTCATCCTCAATTCTGCCAGGTTCAAAACCATGTTCAAAACATGAAGCTTGCACTAACATGACAGCCCCGTGACAACTTCAAATTGTTCAAACTACATGGCAGCACTATGCAGACCAACAAAAATGCAATTTCATAGCTTTAACAATAAAAACTGTAAACCGTGGAAAGAGATGTTGAGGCTGAGAAAAAATCTCAGGTCAGTAACACTTCTAATAGTGAGGAATAGCAAATGTCCTAAGAGCTTAAGTGGTACTGTCAAATTATTTATAACTTGGACCATTTCACCTCTAAACTTACATTATATGCCACAGGAATGCAGGTATAAGTTAACACTGTTGCGTTTTCAACTTACACCATTTAAGCTTTGATCAGCTCAAATAATGATACAAATCAAGAAGTTCTATACTCAAGAGTTGAGCCATATGTGGAATCAGAAATGAAATCCTGCCTAAGAACCAAGGGTGATAATAAATGTACTGGCTGGTCATGCCTGACACCTAGCTCCAGCATGGTCAAAAATAGTTCATAACAAAGGTACAATAATCAAAAGCCATCAAATAAGCTTGCCTATGTGTTCATAACAAGTGAAAACTGTGACTGGCCAACTGGAAATTATGTTGTGCATACCACTTATAAATTTACACTGCTCGTAAATCATAATTACAATGTTTATGCAATTGGTGAACCAATTTGAATTAATGACTGGCAAGGGAAAATGGGAAGTGTTCAGAAAGAAAGCTGCCCAAATATCGTTGTATCTACAACAAATTCCATATGGATTGAATCAAAGCCTACATAGTATGAAGTATGTAAAAAATTGTATGTCCCAATTGAATAAAAATTTACTTGGATATTATCCATCGTCTAGTAATAAAACGTAAAAAACGTAAAACGACGTTTCGGAGATGGGGCTCTATCTCCGTCTTCAGGTTCCTACTCAGTTGGGCCCATTAGATAGAGCTAATCTCTATCTCCGGACAAATTAAAAAGTGAAAGTGCCAGAATAAAAAGGCATTACCACACCATCCATCCGTGGGACGTAAAAGAATAGTATGTAGAAAACAAAATTCATAAACACGAATAAAGCCAGAAGACAAAAACTCACAAAAGGTGGGAATAAATACACATGAATATTAAGTTTTAGATTGTATGTCCCAGTTTACAATTTTATATTTAATGCAAACCTGTAGACAACATACATAAAATTTAACATGATGACAAAATTGTTTTCAAACTTGCAGCTTCCCAGGAAGAGGTATTAGTTTAAAGAATGTGGCTCTTTAGTTTGTATGGTACTAATCTCTTCAAAAATATGGATAATGCTGGAATACTTACATTGTGTTCACCTTTTGGTTTCGTGAACATAAAATCAAAAACTCTGTCCATGTTAGCCATTTTCATAGCTGCTCGATTCAGAAAGAATGCACCTCTAATTGTTTCAAATGGATTAGACCTCGTTCTAGCCCTTTGCATTTCTTCCGGCTGGAGTTTATCAAACACACTCTGCAACAGACCGAGAAGCGTTACACGCAGAGCTTTACGAGATACATAAAATAAAAGGATATTAATAGGCATTAGCAAATGGATACAGATAGTAACACACTTATATTATGCAAAGGCATACAGAACCCATAAAAACAATAATTTATTATGAAATTTTAAGTGTTAAACAGACTGTAACTTCATTTCTTGTTTTGAAGACAAAATATCCAGCGGACCTATCACTAACAACACTCCTAAACTTTGCTAATTTTTGCAATGTTTATTTTACAAATGGTAAAATTGTGTAGACACAACTATACGCTATGTTACCAGTCCTTAATACAATGTGCTACTGAAAAAAAGAATCAATAAATGGAAATTATTAAATTTAAAAGGTGTACTGTTCAGAGTGCACTAATATTCCAAAGGAGTTCTTCACAGATCACACAGGTCATCATTGCAATTCGATGTGTGGGGAGTAATGTTGCATCATATGTTATTCTCACACATTATGATTCCATGATGCAACAATGTTCCAACAATGACCAAAGATCATTCTCATACTGTGATCTGAGGTCCTACTGTGCAAGAATAGGACCCAACCAATTTTTGAAAAAAATAAAAATAAAGAATGAGGCAGACAGACACATGGACAGGCCATTAAGGTATTTTTCATTCATGTTACAGCACGAAGGACACCTAAAAAGTACATGTCCAATATTTTAACTACTGTACTTCTACACAACACAATAAACCACAACAAGACAAATGTTTACAATACATCAACAAAAAATAATTAACAATTAAAAAAATACCAAAAAAGGGCCACATATCACTCAATATTATGAAACAATATGAATGTAAACTATAATTTTGAATACACAGTACTAGCAGTGTGTAAGTACTTACGTATAAGTAGTCAAATAATATTGGTATACTTTCCTTTTTCCTTACCTTAGAATCAAGTACATTCTTTAGTAAATTTGGATCACAGAAATTTGTTTCATCATCAATTGTTTCTTTTTTGCTTCCTTCTTTGATCCATGCATGGAGTACATCCTGTGTCAAAGTTTCATGCGACATGTCTTCAAGCCATGAGACAGTTTCTTCAACTGATATCACCTGTAATGTAAGATATCATAAGTGAATAGAAAAGTAATGTGCTATCAGTCACATTTCATCTACATAACCAGATGTTGCCAAGTCACTGTAAATCCAACAAAAAACAGTTTCTGGAAACAAATAGATGGTTTTAAATAATCAGAATACATGTAAACTCTAAAAGTTTACTATTAAAAATGGTTAAAGTATATTCCACACAAAACTGCTGTGTTGATTTCAGATTAATTCAAAGCTGAGCACAATTTCTACTCTATTCACTCAGTAATTTTACAAACAATTTTGGGAGGAACAAGTAACTTCCAGACACTTGGTCTTTGCCAGATGAGATATGCCCATGGAACAGTTGTCTTTTCAACATCCCTGAGTTGGCTGACACTGTCAGCTTCCCAGGTGGTATGCCAGAACTGCTGGCTCCCTGCTGAGAGGAATCAACTTTCAAATGGAAGCTCTGAGTTATAAAGCTCTTTAGTTGGTCGCCATAATCAAAGCCTCCATGCAGATCCCTGGGTGTTTAGTATCTTGAACTTATAAAGAGTATAGTTAGCTGTATAACTAGTTGAATTAAAACCGAAGAAACACAAAATAGTTTTTTATTAGCAAATCATATGCAGTGTAGAATGATGTGTAAATAAATTATGTAAAATTAATCTGTTTTCTTTTCAAAATGTTTATGCTTTGTACTTCCACCACAGATTAACTTCAAAGAATAATTTAAAACAGTTTCATAGCTACAAGATCTAAACTCGACCCACTCTGAGCTTGGAGCTTGCAAGCTTTCCAAGGCTCAGACTCAACATCAGCTCAGACATAAAATGACTGAGCTACACATCTGTAAATGAAAGTAATGATTAAAACAAAAATCATTACAAAAGTTTTCTTAAAAAATGTTCTCACCTATAACTGAACATATAGTACTAGTTAAATATCTTAACTACAACCATTTTGTTTGGACAATTATGAAGGTACAGTAGAAGAACTAACACTGAATCGTAACACAAGTCCTTAAAACGTCACCGACATACAGTCCAACACATATTTTTATTTATAACACTACAGGTAACAAGGTGGATGGTGTAACTTTATTATGTTTATGAATAAGTGATAGCTAACCTCAAGATTACTATTCCATTTAAGGGTCGCAGCTTCTAGTCCTTTTATGTGTAAACCCAAACCTCGTCTGCCACGATGAAGAGACATCTCTACTGGATCTACTCTACCCTGGCCATGCTTTCCCAAGCCATGACCCGCCCTGTAGCCCATTCGCTCCTGCAAGAATCAAGCAACACAAATTCACAACACTCCCACAATAAAATAAACAGACAGCAGTATAAATGGAATATATCGCGCTTTAAGCATCTGACAAAAAATCACACAAGTCTATCACATAATAATCTTAGTTCCCAAGATGAAGGCCAGATAAGCTGTATTAGACCATGTCTGAAAGTTCAGATTCAGAACAAAGTTTATTGAATTCAGCAATGACAGTGAAAAGTCTGTATATGTTTACATGCTGACACATTACTGAATGACAATGATGATGATGACAGGGTAGAGACTGGCAAGACACATCAAATTATAATGGCTTTTGATCAAGTAGTACAGCAGGAAAAAATATAAATAATATTTTTAAAAATGTTAAACTATTTTCTATACAGGATTTTTAGGAGACAAAGTAACCAAGACCAACTATTATGCATAAAAACTTTAAAAGTGCTGTGGGGAGGTTCAGCTTTAGAAACATGTGACGGTGGATGAAATTTATGGTGTGCCTGGGGGTATTTATGTGCAAATTACTGTGTTGAATTATTTCCTGAGTATTGAGAGGATTACTACACCAACATGAATTACTAAGCAAATGTAAATCACATCCTCAAATTTTGTAGAAAATACAAGGCTTTCCCACAAAATTAGAACAAAATCTGTTTAAAATTGTAATTTACAGTCACTTCAATCTAAGCAAATTTTTTTTATAAATTATAGTGCCTCCATCTTTGTGGTCATATTATTTATGTGATTTAAGTACTTTGAGATCAATGAAAATTGTTAGAAAATTATTTTGATACTTATTTCAGATTAATACTTCTGCAGCATTTAATGATACTGACCATCATCTTCTGACCCTTGGGGTCAAAAAAGCTTTCAGATTTGGCAAGCTTCACCATGTTGTCCATTAAATTTGTCTCAGTATGCTGGACTGGACTGTCTTCATCATCACTCAGTTGAAAATCATCAACTGGCAGGCTGTGGTCTGTGCTGCTCCGATCTGGAACACGCACGATGCATGTTACTTTTAAAGAGAAAAACAACTAACAATTATTTTATTGCCCATGCATCAAGGGAAGTCCACTGGGAGTGGGGTGGGCATAAACAGCAAAGCTGTACTAGTTCAGAAGACATGTGTCCACCTCTACAGCACCATTTGTATACACAATGCACTGCACTACTGGAGTACATTGTTTTTAAATAGGAATAGATGGAGTGTGCTTGTGCAGTAAGATCAAAGTCTTCTCCCGCACCTACTTCCCAGCGGACTTCTCTTAGCATGTGGACAATAAGATAACAAAATATATTACAACCCTATACAGGTTGCTAACAAACAGTAGTCCATTTTCAATTAAATATAAGAACTGTATTGTATATCATACAATACTTAATGTGAGAACAGGGTTTTATACAGAATGAAGTGGTACAGGTTCAGTGTCGGGGACAAATTAATACGTTTTCTTTATAACCTAAATAAGTTACACAATACAGTTTTGGTTCCAAACTTTGTCAGCAGCACAGCTTATTTGTAAATATATAAAAGAATAAACACATTTTTTTGACTGATTTTCAATAAAAACCAAAAAAAATTCTAGTTATTTTTTGAGTGAGATGTGAACATGCTTGAGTATAAAAGTCCACAAATGACAAACATCAATACACGTTTTTACATAAACATATTCATCCCAAAAGTAAATTATGGCAACTGATGTCCAGCATGACTTCATAAGACATGAATTTTCATATTTTAAAACTATGAAATGAGAAGAAATATACAGTATAACAACACTACACCACCAACTTTCCTTCAACACATAAAACTTTTAAGTGATACAGTTTTACATGTTTCTCAAGTGCCCTTCTTTGTAATTTTTGTTTTTTTATTAATGTAGTTTCATTGCATACATCTTATTTCTGTTTCACTTCATGATTTTAAATCTAAACTGCTGCTAACACTACATGATTATGTATGCCATCATTGACACTATTTATGTCCATCATGTTTAACACTGCTGACAAGCATTTTCAAAATATATCTTCCTGATGAGACAAGTGTACTATGCCATTAAAACATTCTACAGTTCTCCCAAAGATGTCAGATTACAGAATTTGGACAAAAATGCTTCAACAGTAACATATAACACTGGTGGCACGGAAATGGCCAAAACTTCTACATACGAATGTAGCACTTAAATGGTTGATAAGACAGAAAAATACTGGCACACATTCATGTACCTAGCAGAATTTTAACCTGCAATAACAATGTTCAAGTAGTCAAAGGCCATGTGCACCTTATGCCATGCAGCCAGTGTAACTGATGTGGGAAATCTCTCACGTTCCAAACTGAAGAAACTGAATCATTAAAAAAATACAGCAATACATATATCAATTTAAGCTCACTAAAGATAATATTTACCATTCTCTAGGATAAATTGTGTGTTTGTAATTTTACCTGTTCCATCCAAATTACGCACGCGCTTCCTCGGAGGCTCAAGAGAACTTTCATCTTCACTGCTCTCTGAAAAATAGATACTAATCAACAGAATCTTTCATGAATTCATAGACAAATTCAGAACTGATATTTATCTGATTAGTATTTCAGATAAATAATCATTCAGCTGATGTAATGATAAAGGAACATGATAATGTGAAGACTAGTCTATCCTGGACTTTAGAGAGCGATAGGAATGTATGAGACATATATTTATGTCTAATTCAGATGTGCTGTCAAAGACGAGGCAGCTCACTCAATATAGTGACTAGGCTATGACTGAATGACAAGAATTCAATTACCAGCAAAGCAGGATTTCTCCTCTTTTCCAAAACATCAAGATTGGCTCTGGGGCTCACCCAGCCTCCTATTCAATGGGTGACAGGGGCTGTTTCCCTGGGGATTAAGTGGCCAGCATGTGAAGCTGACCGCTCACCTCCATCTAGGTCAGAGATTAAGAGTGAGTGAAGCTATACATCCACTCCCTCATATGTCTGCATAGCATTCGTTCTGTTCTTCACCTTCTCATGAGCCATTATGCTACATACGTAAGTCATAAGTTTATAACTGAGGTCGCTACAGTCAAAAACTGTATGAAAATAGGACCAATTCTTAATTGTTATGGGGTTATGGATGATTGTTGTTAAAAAATAAGAGAAAGCAAAGAAGTAACTGGTAAAGTCTTTATTAATAAATTTACAGTAACTATTCGAAATGACCACAAGTATCTGGTAAAATTTTATTCATTTAATCATTCATAGATTTACAGTAACTTTAAATGACCATCTTCAGCCTAAATACACATCTCGATTTGTCTGTGGATCACATGTGTAGCTCACGTTAGTTCATTACAATTGTCTTTTCTAAAGGTTGCAGTATCCAAAATGTGACACAGCAGCGCACTTTGTGTTTTGATTTTCTGCTGGAACACCATTTCTTTCATGCACCGCAACAGACAAAAACCTTGAGAATGTAGATCGAGGTACCTGGCAGCATGAGTCACATAGAAATATCGTAACTTCAGGAATTTATAACCGAGATCATTCATATGAACATAGGTCTGATTCTTAACAGCTAAGGACATCTAAATTTACAGCATGCATATGTGTGACCTACAACTGAACCAACAGTAACTGATCAAACCTAACTAACAATGCAGTTTATTGTTGTGTCTAACAGCATGCCAAATATGCTGATATGGTGTACGTATATGGATTCTGAGATGGGAACAGTATTGCTGTTGTTGCTGCACACCAACAAGAAGGCACGTATCCACATCACATACAGTGTGTTCAGCACCTTGAACATGAAGATCATGCTCTACGGCTAAAATTTTACAACTGGCTCATTGTTGATCAACAATTGCATCGATACATCTTCTTCTGTAATAAGGCTCAATTTATCAGCAACCTTATCAACAACATTTATAGTTCACGTGTCAGAAATTAATCCTCACGCCACTGTGAAAAGTAATTTTCAACACTGGTTCAGTGACAATGTGCGGTGTAGTATTCTCTGCAAGTCTTATTGGTCTTTTCATCTTCAAACGCTGTCTTGCAGGTGACATCTATGATTTCTCTAAGACAGGCTGCTGTCATTGCAATTTACCTTTGGCAACATGTCTATGTATGTACTTCCAACATGATGAAGCTCCTTCACATTACAGCCATGTGGTTAAAATGCACCTCAGTGATTGTTTCACTGGCTGATGGATCAGTCATGGTAGTGCATAAAATTGGCCACCAAGGTCTCCTAACCTAAACCCTTCAGATTTTTATGTGGGGATGCATGAATAAGGTGGTGTACCAGAAAAGGCAACACATAAGATGCACTGCTCTGTCGTAAACGGCACTCACAATGGACTAATGAGAGCTTCACACATGATCTGCAGATGAGCTGAGATGTGTACTGATACCAAGCATGGTCATTTTGAAGGTGATATGTACTGTTCTGATGGATAAATTTGGTATCTGTAATATTACCCGTTCCATCGAGAATAAATTCAGAGTGCAGTCGCTTCCTTGATGGCTCTGACTCTACAACAGAACTTTCATCTTCACTGCTGTCTGAAAAATAGATATCAACAGAATCTGCTCATAAATTCAATACTGGTAAATGCTGAAATATTTATCTGATTAGTATTTCAGATTAGTATTCTGTCAGCTAATGTAGTCATTAAGGGACACACAATATTATAAAAACTGGGCTTAAGTTATCCATGTAACAGATATATTTATGTCTGATCCTGATGTGCTGTCAGAATCAGGGGCAGACTGAGCAGTTAGTGACCAAGCTATAGTCTGGATAACCAGGGTTTGATTCCCAACAGAGCACAGATTTTCTCTTTTCCAGAACATCCAGACTGTCTCTGGGGCCCACCAAATGGATATGATGGGCTCTTT